AATCCTCCATTATCCAGCCTAATATTTTGCCCCCCCCAGTCCAATACCTGCAATACCCACTCCCGGATTCTGACATGTGTCCTCCCAGTCGCTGCCAGTTCTTTCAGCTAGATCTAGTGATTCTTTGGATGACACAACTATTTCCTCCCAGAGAAGGGACCGTACTTCCCCACTTAGGCTATACCAAGAGCTCATCCTAATTTTTAGTCTGGAGGCAATGAGGGGAGGTTGGAGCAGATCTTGAGGACAAGCATGACCTTGTCAGGCACCTGTCTCTAATGAGGTCTTTTCATTGTCTTCAGGTGGGAGTAGGAGTGGGGCTCCCTGCACAAGGGGGGATGGGGTATTTCTACCAGCCCAAAGGGCTCAAGGGAATTTTGAGGTGGAAGGTTCCTCAGATCATCCACACAATTTCCCCCTTCCTACGTCCTTCTCCTCCCCTATCAGGGCCCTGACTCTAGCATCAGAGATCTGCCAAGGATACACATTCAATTACCAATCAGCTCGACACCCTTATAACTAAATCTTGAATGGGAGTTTTAGCACTCTGTCCCATGGCTGCAAGAGATGAGGATCTCTTTAGATGCTGATGTGAAGGTTTCCTACCTCTCATGATGAGCCCTGAGTCAATAGCTGGCTGACCATGAAAGTTAAAAAACAAAACAAAACAAAAACAGCAAATTCTGCCATCCTTCTAAGTGCCCTTGTCTCTTCCCATTCAAGTGCTAGAGCTACCATGCAGACGAGTTTCATCTTCATCTTCTATCCAGCACGTAATAAGAGCTTTAGTGATTGTGATATCCCAGAGCACCAGGAGGTATTCCTCTTGCCATCTGACTAGTGAATGACCCAGACACTTGAGAGGCTGCATTTGACGCTTCCTTCCTACACCAATTTCTTAGGCTGATTTCCCTCAAAAGCATAATCTAAGACAGGTACTTGTGTGTGGCCAGGTCATTTGGAAGGTGATCCTACTGAGAAGTGGTGAGGGGATGAAGAGAAAGTTATACAAGATGATACAAGAATGCGGTTTTGAAATTGCTGCAGTGGACAACTCAATTTCCCCAGGTCCTCTTGAGAAGCACACAGAATGGCCCTACAGAACTGCCTCACTACAAGGTAAGAGGCAAGAGGCTTTGTCCGTTGGATACTGTCACCTGTTGGTTAAAGGCTGACCCCGGAGTGTTAACTCACCAACACTTCAAAGGTGTGCAAGGTGTGAGCTACTGTTGACATCAGAGTCAGTAAAGTCAGAGGAGTCTCGGGGTCAGCATCTATAAACACCTACTCTGTAATAAGTACTACTCAGTCCGTCATAAACCTCACAGTTGACACGTAAAAATATGGCACTGATTGTATTACTTTGCTAGGGTTGTCATAACAAAATCCCACAGCCTGGTGGCTTAAGCCACAGAAATTTATTTTCTCACAGTTCTGGAGACTAGAAGTCTGAGATCAAGGTGTTGGTAGGGCTGGTGTCTTCTGAGGCCCCTCTCCCTGATTGTCTCCACGTGGCCTTCGTCCTATATATGTCTGTCTCCAAATTCCCTCTTTTTTTTCTTTTCTTTCTTTTTTTTTTTTTTTGACAACTGCTACACCTCACCTTTTTCTCCTCTTTTCTGCTTTCTGTTAAATGATTACTGTTCTTTGTTTGAGTGTGTTTAAGTAATTCCCTAGAGAGACATCCAGGTAGATGATGTGCAAACCCCAGCTTGTCCTGGAAAAAAAGCTCAGACATTTCCAGCCACTTCCATAGCCCCTTGGATGCAGACATTTCCCAATTCCCTCTTTTTTTTGTTTTTTGTTTTTTGAGGATGCTCATCAGATTGGATTAGGGCCCACCGTCATCACCTCATTCTACCTTAGTTGCCTCTTAAAAGATCCTGTCTCCAAGTACAATCATACCCTTGAGGTACTAGTTGCTAAGATGTCAACATATGAATTTTGGGTGAAAACAATTTAGCCTATAATATTGACCTTTACATTAAAAAAATACTTATAATATTAGGTTAAAGTATTGCTTATTTGAATTAATATAAAAGTTACTCTGAATTCCTAAAGATCCTTTCCCATTTATAGCTGATTTTTTAATGTTTTATTATTTTGTGTTTCAGACACATGAGAAATCTTTATGTGTGTAACTTCATGCTTTATTTAAACATTAAATTCTATGTTATTTTCAGTATTTTCTTTTTCATAGTTTAAAACAAATTCCAACTAGTCTCTAAATATATTTGCCAGTCAGTCTAGAATTAGTAATAGCTGAAAGATACACTGTAGGAAGAATGGGATTTGCTAGGAAAGGGGGACATGGTAAATTAGGCCTCCATGAGGCAAGGCTGAATTTTCACAGATGAGCTATTAGCAGTTTTCCTGTAGTTTTGTTTTTAGAGATCAGCATATTAGCATTATTGTAGCTAATTATTGCCTTGTCTAATGTGTCCATTTATTTTGGATGACTCTGCTTGGACTGCCCTTCCTCCCCTCTTTCCCCCATTCCAAAACCAATGGAATCCTCATCATAATCTAGGTTCTGCCTTTTAGAGGAAGCTTTCATAAGCCATGCCAGCCAATATTTTACTTTTTCTGGATTCCCATGCTACTATCCTAACACTCATTTGGCAGTTCATCTTATTCATTTACCAAATATTTACTGAGTGCAGACTGTGTACCAAGCACTCTGTTCTAGATGATAGCACTACAGCTGTGAATGAGACAAAAATCTCTGGCCTCATTAAACAAACGTTCAAGTAGGGAAAAATAGGTGGGGAGGCACAAATAACAAATATAGGGGCATCTATCATAACTGTTATGAAGACAAGAAATGCAGGGTAAGGACGGTGTCTGGGTGTAGAGGGGTTGGCATTCCTAGATAGCATAGTCAGGAAAAAACTGCCTGACCAGGTTACATTTGAGCAGTGACCTGAAGTAAGTGAAGAAGCACATCCTGTGGATATCTGAGAGAGTAATGGTCTGTGCAGATGGAACGCTAAGTCCAGAGCACTAGCACTTGGTGTTCTTGGAGAGGGGTAGATGGGCTCTGAAGAGCAGCCGTAGAAAGCTGTAGCCTTTGGGGTGCCTGGGTGGCTCATTCGTTAAGCATCTGCCTTCGGCTCAGGTCATGATCCCAGGGTCTTGGGATCAAGCCCTGCATTGGGCTCCCTGCTCCATGGGAAGCCTGCTTCTCCCTCTCCCACTCCCCCTGCTTGTGTTCCTTCTCTCACTGTGTCTCTGTCAAATAAATAAATAAAATCTTAAAAAAAAAAAAAAGCTGTAGCCTTTCAGATCAAGTTCTTACTTAGAAGCCATGGCAAGGGTTTTGAACTTTAATCAGAGTAAAACAGTAAGCCATTAAAGCATTCTGAGCAGAGGAATAGTATATTCTGTCACAAGCTCTAAAAGGATCATTCTGGCTGCTGAATAGAAATTGGAAGCAGAGAAATAAAGGGGAGATAGAAAGACGTGTCAGAAGCCAAACTGTGGCACATTTACATTATGGAATATAGCTCCGTAATTAAAAAAAAAAGAAGCCTACCGTAACTGTCCAGGCAAGAGTAGATGGTTCCTTATGACACCTCTTGTATAGTAATTTGTTTTATATTGACATTTACCTTCACTTGTGTATCCCTAACTCCTTGAGGGCAGGGAGCCCATACTTGTAATTTATGGATTATGTATACGACCCATGCGTATGCCCATTTGATAGGCGCTCAATTAATGTTGCCTAATGCTTTTAAATCCACATTATTCAGGTAACAGCATGGCATCATTAAAGGCTTCGTCATTTACTGTTTCTTTAGGAAATTAAAATTCTCTAAGTCTTAATTAAAATGCTGGTAACACTGACCTTGTACAAGGTTGGTAAGGATTAAATAAAAAAGCCTAGCCAGACACACCACTTTTAGTAGGCGTTAACTGCTACTCTTTTATATAAACCCTCACACCCAATACAAAATACAAGTGCTGCCCTTTCTGCACAATGTCTGTGAAATTTTAAAAGCTATACATAACTTACTGGATTCTAACATCTATATTAATCCAGCTCATCCCTTTCTGGGTATCTAAATCGGGCACTCAAAAATGTCCCGGCTTCCTTACAGAAATCTTTGCCTTACATGTCATTTTAGTTACCTAAAAATATCGCAGCTATCCCGTCTTGGTGTTTATGTCAATACATCTCAGTGAGTGTAGATGTAGCCCTAAATGCAGGATAAATGTTTAGTTTTGATAGCTGGTAGAGCTATGGGATTTACATTCTGAGCAGTAAGTAGCAGTGTCAAAACAATGCGGGCAACATTCGTGTCACGTTGCAAGGCCTGGGGTTGCTGAGCTACAGGTGGATTATAACGTCAGAAGCAACCCAAGCGCGCCTTCAGTCCACCTCCACCAGAAAGCGGGCACAAGTCAGGCAAAAGCATAAAACTGGAGACAGGTAGGGTGACTATGCCCAACTCACTTGGATCAAGAAGAGGGAACAGGGAACCCCAGGGTTTCTAAATCCAGGTTCAACATTCTCCACTAGGCTTCCTTCTCAAATTTCAGCTCAGGGCCATTGCAGTGTAAGTGGTCTCCTGCGTGGGGGCCTAAGGGGTGCAGGGGCCCGGGGAGTACCAAGCCGCAGCAACCCTCGAGGCTGCAGAGGCCCGGAGACCAGCAACAAGCGAACATGGATCGGTGGGTGAAAACTCCCCAGCCGGTCGGGGATCGACACTCCTACGCCATTTTTAGTGGGTGCAGAAGCGCAGCCCTCGCACGGCCAAGCTCACTTTGCGCTCTTCCGGCATTCGGGAGAGGAGAGAGCATGCGCGAGAGGTAACCGCGCCCTCGCTGCCTGATGGCCCCCGGCCGGCGAGGGGGCGGGACCGCGCAACTGCGCCCGCGCGCGGAGACACGTAGGCGGAAGTGGCGCGCGGGCGCCGGCGATGCGAGCACCTTGCGAGGAGGCGGCGACGGCTGTGGAAAGTGCAGGAGTAGGCGGAGAGGAGAAGAAGGAGGTGATGGCGACGGACCTGGGGAGGGGGAGACGCTCTGTCTGGCTGGCGCCACTCGGGCTGGGCTCACCCTTTTAGGTGACATACCGGCTCTGAAGTGGACGTGTTCCCCCGGTCCTTCGCCGTGTTTGGGACCCAGACCTCCCTCTCCCCAGAGAATCTTGACACAGTTTATTTTCGGTCGGGGTGGAGGGCCCGGGTGACTTCCTTTTTTAAAGAACGGAAACCTGCCGGCACGGTTTCTAGGGAGGAGTATCTGCTCCTCCTCGCCCCTTGTCCGCCCTGCGGCTGGCTAGAACTCCCTCACGTCCCCGTCTGTGGACTCTGAGACATGAGGCCACTTCCAGGAGGGCCTTTTAGGCTTATGGTAAGGGGCCTCCGGAGAACTGTCAGTCCCCTGGGTTCCCAGGGCTGCGTCTTAGTTAAGAGCTATTTCCGGGTTCTGTGTTAGATAGGGTACTTAGGGTACTCTGCTGTCCATTTAATTTGTAGTGCAAGGTGATTGTTCTTGCCAGGTTATTAAATTTATGTGATAAACTTCCACTAGAAGTTATGCAGGTTCTCCAGTCTTTGCAGCTTAATTTTCTCCACCTTATTTTTCTTTTAAAGAATTACTGAAAGAAGGTGGAATGCTTTGGTGTGCTAACGGAGAGTTTTTTAGTGTTGGGTATGTGCGTTTCTTCTATGGTAGGACCTCAGATGTTGAGAATTGGTTTTTGGATTAACGCTTTCCCAAGTGAATTGGGATAGTTTGGGACGTGGAAGAGAGAGATACAGCAGCATTTGAAAATAATTTAGATAAGTGTTATTTGTACTTAATTTCTAAATATATGTCAAATCCTAAGTTTAGATTTATCCCTTGGAAAAAGTAGAGTAAGCATCAAAAATTAGCGCACTGTTTCTTGAACTTTGTGTAATCTGAAGTGTGTACAAAGAAATGAGACAGTATTTTTTTTCGTTTTATAATCATAACCCATAGGTCACTCAATTACTATTTAGAGTCCACTTAATTTATATATAGTGGCAAGATTATTTTATTTGTAACATTGAGTGTGACAAAATACAGAATCAAGTTTGTTCTGGTTATTTACACTGTAATGACATAATTTCCTCATATTCTACCCTTTTCTATGGGAGACGTTTCTTCTAAGGGTTGGAAAAAACTAGATTTAGACATTAACTGAAATAATTTTGACTTAAGTAGGTCATTGTAAATCAGTGTTATCACCAGTTATTTATAATTTTTAAATATCAGTATGCTCTAGAAATGCTACCTTTTTATTCCGTTTTAACAGTTTTTTGTACCCCCAAGTAACATAACATATCTGTGTTGACTTCAGGAAGAGGCCTTAGGCAGTGATTCACACCTGTGGGTTTTTTGTTCTTAGTTTCAAGGGTTACTGTGAATTTCTAAAGCAAAGCAAAATGTTGAGCATTTAATTTTAAAACAGTTTTTATGCTTGATTTTATTTTTCCTGCACCAGAAGGACATTGGCCTAGTTTCTTTAGATGATGATTAATATCCATCATTAATGTCTGAAATGGAAGGCGTATGGCAAACATTAAGGATCACAGTTACTGGGTATCAGAGTTTACAGTATCTTCATCAGTCACATAATCTGACCAGTGATGTTCTGATTAATAAAAGTGCTTTCTAAATGCAAGGCCTTGCAGGGCAGATTTTCTGGTCTGGTACCTCAAGTAAGCAAAGGAAGTGAATTTATTTCCATGTTCATTTCAGATGCTTTGTGGGAAATTTCAGTGGAGATGTCAGTATTTTGGCACAGATGTCCAAGAAGTGACAGTGCTGGAGGGATTTAACTCTACTTGTCTGGCACAGATCTGCGGCTCCTAAGATTGCCAGTAGGTGTGTTAAAAGCAGCAAATTGTCGGAAAGGAGCAGGATTCTATTGACTAAATGGTGCTTACTAAAGTGCAATGGAGTCCTTCATTTCATATCTTACACTTTTGCTATGTGCGAAAATATAATGCAGATGGTATTGTCTCTTCCCTTAAAGGGTATCATAAGTTTGTGAGAGAAGCAGACACAAAAACAAAAAGGCCGTTATGATTTAGGTATCTGTAAAAATATTTATAAAGTGCTATGAGAGTCCAGAGAATCAACCAGCTTGTAATTTATAGGACCTTAATCAGAGGTGCAGCATAATGAGCATTCATACTGAGTAGTGTGAAAGAGGGATCAGAAAGGGAAGAAGAGATTATAAACAGGCTAATCTAGTAATCTAGGCAAGAGAAAACAGCTGCTAATGGTAGAGTCAGAAACAGATTCTTGGTGCATTTATGGATGTAGAGTCAACAGGAACCTTGGCAAAATATAGAATGTGAGGAAAAGGAAAGAGTCTAATAAATACCAGATTTTTGGCTTCATACCAGTAAGTGAGATTGGGAATATATGAAGAGCAGGTTTGTTTGGAGGGGAACATAATGAGTTCTGCTCTGGACACTTAAAATGAGGTGCCAGTGGAACTCATGAGTAGAAATGCTTTCAAAAAAGCATTTGGAAATAGAGATCTGGATTCCAGAAGAGAAGTCTGGGTTGGAAATCCAGATTCATATTTCTAGCTGCACATCAAAAGGGTGAGGAATCTGTGTCAGCAGACCATATCATACTAGCAATAGTTCTAAAGAGTTGAATGACAGCTAACATTTGTGATCTGTCTTACTATATGCTAGGCACTTTTAAATTTATTTCATTTAGTCGTAACAAAAATTCTATCACAGGCACATTTTTTTACCCCCCTTTTAAAGATGTACAACCTAAAGTTCAGAAGGGTTAAGTAATTTGCTCAAGGCTTTTCAGCTAATCAGTATCAAAGCTGGATCTTGAACTCAGATCTGTCAAAATCCAAAGCCTGGGGAAAGGCTTCTCATAATGGTAGCTATAATTTTATTGAGTCAGTACAGTATGCCAGCCATTTTGCTAAGTTACAAACACCTCCAGCAGAAGATGGGTGGGGGAGAAATTTTTGATACTAATAAAAGCAGGAGAGAGGTCTTCTAGAAGTTTTATTTATTCTCTCTGTGTAAATATATAAACATTATTTGCACATTTCCCCTAACCTCTGTTTTCTATACAATTTTTAGTTTTGCTCACAAAGTTTGCCAACACCACAGTACATTTGAAAAATTGTGTTCAGGTAGACAGTAAGTGATTGCAAGGTGGGGTTTTGAGGGCATCCAGGGGAAGGGCCCGTTTATTTGGTTCATCTGAGTGTTTGGGTGCAGAGTATACCAGATATCAAGGATGCAGAGACAAGATTTGAGTCTTGCCTTTCCATTTCTCTTCTCTCCCAACTGAGGGAATTAGGGAGGGTATTCCAAAGGAAGGAACACTAAAACTTATTTCAAATGCTGACCTAGAGAAAAAAGACATTGGGCTGAAAGAACATCATGAACATAAGGCAAGGGTGTTTGAAAGTCCATGGTATATTTCAGGAATGAAATAATAGTTCCTTGTGGGCAGTTCAGGGCTTGATTGAAAGAGGTGGAGGGAGGAGAAGCTTACGTGGGGCCAGATATATTTGAATGGTACTCTGTATCCATGCCTACACACATGGAAAGTAGTTACTCAGGTTTTTGTTTCTTCTACATTCAAGATCATTTAAAGCATGGTTTATAAAGAAAGTCAAATCTCAAGGGTATCCTGCAAGATGACTTAAAAAGTCTTAACTCAGAGATGACTGATTGAAACAGTGTGGGAAGGAAGAACAATATATAAAGAAGAAGAAACAGGTAAAGGAAAAATACAGTAAAACTTTTTAAAATTATGCTTTTTCTATTTAGAAATTTGGCAGATGCCCTATAAAATAAATGTTATTTGATGCCTGAGTATTGTTAGTTACAAGTTGTATTCCGAACCTTGATCCCAATTTAAATTACTGAAGATGACCTATCTCTGTAATTAGCAAAGGAGAAGTGATCATGAAGAAGTGACTCTAATTCTTGCCATTTTAAACCATCGTGACAGTTTCTTTTAAAGAGATTTCCAAATCTGTCAAAGTTATCCTTATCTATCCTCTTTCCTCAACTATTCTAAATTTTAGTTCCCATTGGATTGTGACAGTGAGTTTTTTCTAGGAAGATAATTTTTTCATCATCAGGTTGTTCTTTAATTGTCATAATTCTTCATTCTCTCTTCAACCTCTACATGGAACTCATTCTTTGGTTTATATAAATCCAAAGGGAAATTGACAGTCATCTATGGAGCCCTCATGATTTTTTTTTTCACAGACTAACAAAAAATTATGTTTTCCAACTTTTTATAGTCCCAGAAGCGTCTTTATTCCTTTTTTATAAAACAGCTATATTGAAGTATAATTGTTACACACAAAAAAAACTGCACATTTAACATACACAATTTAATTAGTCTGGACACGTGCATATACCTGTAATACCATCACCATAACGATCAAGATAATACACATTTGTCACCTCCAGAAGCTTCCATGTTTGCCCCTTTGTGTGTGTGTATGTGTGGTGAAGAATGTTTACCACGGTATCTACCCTCAACAGATTTTTAAGTGCACACCCCTGTGTTGTTAACTGTAGGCACTATGTCCTATAGCAGGTCTCTAGAACTTACTCATCTTATATAACTGTAACTTAATATTCATTGAACAACAACTCCCCAAAGACTTTTTAAATTAAAATGATTTTGTCCAAAGGAAGAAAACATTTTCTTTTAACCTAACCTAAGAAATGCTCTTGCTAAGGCATATTATCCTTTCTGTTGTCTCTGATAAATCTAGCTTTTTAAAATAACAAAGTTGTTTGAGTTTACTTTTAAAACATCATTAACAAATACATTTTACAGTTGACTTAGTACTTAAAGGAGCATCAGCTCTTTTCTGCAAAGACTAACTTTAATGTTAAGATTTCACTCATAAACTATCATGGGTTTTACAGATTATTTCCTTAATACATATAAAACCATAATAAAAGCATATTTACTTCTTTGATGAAATAAACACTAAGTTAAAAAAAAATAAATAAATAAACACTAAGTTAGCTTTTGATTTTTGCTGTGGAAATGAGAATAGCATATATTTAGCGATGTATGGTCTTTATCAGGAGAAGATAAATTGGAGAGTAGACATTGTTTTTGGTTGCTTGGAAGCTTGTATAGGGAATTAATATATTAATACCCAGAGAGAATGAGATTTACCTGTGTACTTTTTAAAGCGTGATGTGAAATATTTGGAGCATAGTATCATATGATCCAAATGCTTTAATTGCTTATTTCCTTCTTTAGGACTTGCCTCAGCAAGCAAAAGAAACACTGAACAAAGGAGAGGAAACCAACAAAGATAATTATAGAAGCACTGAATGCAGCAAAACAAGAACAATGGATCTCAAGTTCAACCACTCCAGGAAATATATTTCTATCACTGTCCCTCCCAAAACACAGACAATGTCACCACACATCAAGTCAATAGATGACATCGTAGTACTTGGCATAAATCTCAGCAGATTTAACAAACTTACTCAGTTTTTCATATGTGTTGCTGGAGTTTTTGTATTTTACCTAATTTATGGATATTTGCAGGTAAAAAATAGTTACTTATTTACAAGATGCTAATTATAACAGTTGCGGTCAATATGGGCATTACTAATAGTTTTGTCCAAGATATTTTTCTTTATAGGATGCCACTTTATTCACATTTTTGAGTTTTTTAATATAGAAAAGGATTCTTAAAAGATAGTCTGCTACTTTTAGCAGGGATCAAAATTTCACTGTTAAATATTTCAGATGGGGGGAAGGGAGCAGAGACAAACTTAAAAAATTAAAATTATGAAAAAATTTGAAATATGTTAAAGTAATTGCACCCATGTGTTTCTAAAAGAGAGTGATTCAAGTATTCAGTGGTATTTTGGAACGTAATTCTCCAATAAAATTGAATGATAACACAAAAGCCATAATCTAGTCCATTGTTGATTCTTGGAGCTCAATAATAAAAGGTCATTTTTGCAAAGTATATGAGGATGCTTTATAGTGTTTCCAGGAGTTTCTCTTTAATCCTGTACTATCTGAATTGTTCTTTTTATGAAGCACCTGTTGTGTTCTCATTCTTTTTGGCTTCCTCTTCAAATCTAATTTTGTCAGAACCTTATTTTTCTGTGATTTTTGCCGGTGCAAAACATTTCTGACATTGCCACAAATTGTCTTCTGTTTGTATTACGTGATGGGATTGTTGTATTACCTTTGACTAGCAGCAAATTCCTGACCTTCTGGGGACATGGGCTTGATGGGTGAAGAACCAGGCTAGTGTAAACAATGTTTGAATGGGGACTACTATTCTTAATTGTCAGTTCATTAGTATTTTCAGCCATTACCAACTTTCCTTTTTTATGCAGCTTTCTAATGTGAGAAAACCTTTTATAATTCAAGAAATGGAAATGGATGTGTTTTGTTGAAACTGTTAATATTTCTGGTGTTGTTTAGTATTAATCAGTTAGAATGATCTTAAAAATTATTGTACTCTTTCCCATTGTCCTATAGAGATGGAAGATAAAAGGAAGTATAAATGAAGAAAATGGTAGAATTGGCTATTCCTTAGCTTGTAAAAATGCTATGAGCAGTATTAGTGTAAAACAAAAATATGAATTAAAAATCTTAATATTTATAAAAACTGATTTCCCCACTAGAGGATGATACAAAAAAGATATCACAATGAAGAATGATGAAAAACAGTAAATTTTATCAAATACAGGTTTCAGTTTCTTGTTGAGAAACATTTTTTTTTTCTTTTTCAAAACACCATTGTTAAATAATTTGGGAGCAGAGTTAGCCATTGCAAAAAAGGAAAATGAATTAGAAATTTACAAATTTTATTATTCTTTTTCTGTTTGATTAATCATCAGAGATTTTAATTTATAACATGCAAAGCTTTTAAGATTAATAATTACTTTTACTTTATGAAAACTGACATTGCTACTAACTCTTACATATAATAGCATATTAAAATAGTCCAAAGAAAATGCTTGGGGTTTTGTAATGAAGTTAGCTGTATAGATACAGTATAGTGAAATCTATCTGAATGCTAACATACTTAATAAAGTTATTTTCATATTTTATAATTCATATGCCAGAAAAATACTAAATACCTTTCAGACTTACTTGAACATGAAACCTAAATTTGGGGAATTACACAGTATCCTAAAAATGTACAAAATCTAGTTCAGAGTCTATGGTTGGGGGAGGGGAGTGATTAATCGATTAAGCCAGGTAGTGGAATACCTCTTACTGACTTGTTAATGGCTTATTAACAATTAACGTAGATACTACTTCATAAGATAACATGTTTTGACAAAGTAACCATTTCCTTTACAAGGAGAAATTTTATATAATCTGTGGCACAAATATTCCAAAAAATCACATTACTGGTTTGAACTGATTAAATTCCTATAGAAAAACAAGCCTGAGATAATAGACTTCTAATGAAATATATTTGTTATACAGTAAATGAGTCCTTGACCCAACTATCTTGCCCATTGTTGGGGCAATTCTTAATTTTGGCAATCTTTTTTTTTTAAAAAGAAAAGCCTAGGATAACATTGCTTCATAGTTATCCCTCCCTCCCTTTACTTTTCTCACCTGAATATCTAGAGTCCTTTGGAATGGCCTTCTGAACTTCTCTAATTTTACCTCTGAGAAGCCTTGTGATTTGGGTGTTTATTTTGCTTTTTATTTTTTGTTGCTGGGGGTGAGGCTTGTGTTCTTTTTAAAATATTGTGTTTATAGGAATTTATTGTGAGGAAATTGGTCTGCCCCAGAACTTAACAGTATTCATGTATCTTTTGACAGGAATTAATATTTTCAATGGAGGGTTTTAAGTCCTATGGCTGGTACCTTACTTTAGTACAGTTTGCATTTTACTCCATATTTGGCCTAATAGAACTTCAGCTTATTCAGGACAAAAGGAGAAGGTATGTGGTTTGTTTTTATTTTTTTGACAGTTAAGTTCATTAGTAGTAGTTAAATTTGTTCTTTGGGAATATGGAGTATATCATACATGAAATATATACATTTGCAATTACTAAAACATATCTAATACCCAAGATTTTTTATCAGTATAACCAACTTACAAAAAAATATTAAATTTAGTTCAATTGTACACTGAAGAAAGTGGTCTCTCTTTTAGTGTAATGTTATCAGAAAAATGTAGTTTGGGCTCAAATTACAGTGAATGTATCTTGAAACAGGAGAAAGTATTCAGATGTACATACGTGTTTTTATAAATTGAACTGAAATGGGTACGATTACTGGAAGATTTACAGTGCTAAGAAAGAGCAAAGTGGTGAATAGTCAATGCCACTTTTACAGTGGTTTTTAAAATGCACAGTTAATGTTTTATGGGATACATTCTATTTAACATTGTCTTCTTTATAATGTGCAGTCGCTGAGACTGCATGTTTAAACCTCAAATTTCGTAGCATGCCTTTTCATCAGAATCAGAGGAGTTTGTTTGACATAACATTTTGCATTGAGCATCTAGATTTGAGAAATATCGTGAAATATTTTTAATGGTATACAGAACAATATGCAGTAAAAACCTGATTATAAACAGGAGAAGGTTAGGAAATTGTAACTTCTTAGTAAATGTAAGTGTGGTTATCCTGTCATATCAGACTCTAAGATGTGAATATTTCATGTATACACTGAGCAGTTTAAATGCAGCAAGGAACTATAATACTGATAGCCTGTCTTCAATGATAGAAATGTTTAGTCTTTCAGTAAAAATAAATATTCACAGCTACCATTTTTCTTACAAAAAATGTTTTTGATATTTGTCTGAAGGTAACTATAAAATTTTAAGTATTTAAGTCTATCATACCAGTATTCCTTCATAGTTCTAATTTTGCTTCTCATCCTCTCTTTATTGCCAGTAAATTATTATAGCAGTGATAGTAAAAAAAAATGTTTGAATCTGAGGTTAGTGTCTGTATTATTTTCATATAGGTGTAGTACTCAGCCATAGAGGTGATAAAATAGAAAGTAAATATATCTGTCAAGACTAATGTGTAAGAAAGCATAATGATTCATTACCAGTTGCAAACTGCTGGATGTCTATTTCCAAAGTAAAAGAATCTAATGCTATCTTTATAAAATGGAAAGTGACACAAAGATACACCTCCTTTAAAAAAGATACACCTCCAGGGTGCCTTGGTGCCTGAGTCAGTTAAGCGTCCGACTCTTGATCTCAGCTCAGGTCTTGATCTCAGGGTCCTGAGTTCAAGCCCCGCACTGGGTTGCACACTGGGCATGGAGCCTATTTAGAAAAAAAAGATATACCTCTCTCTCATCTACCCAAATGAAATAGGGAGTGAGCCTCCAGCCATGTTTATCCCAACCCTTAACCCAAATGACTATAACACTTTTAAAGATAAAATAATTTGTGTTTGATTTAAACATAAATGAAGGCATATAGAAGAATTTACAGACGTATAATAAATATAATTTTGAATTAAAACCTTTTCGCTTCCAAGGCACATTAAAAACATTTTTAGAAGAAGCCTTTAAAGGTACGTTACAATGAAAATATGCTCAATCACATATTTCTGAATTTATTTAAGTGGTGCTGCTCTTCAGACCTTTAGGTAGCCAAACTCTTTGCTTAGTTGTTTTTTTTTTTTCTTTTTCTTCTTTCTTCCTATATTTATATGAATACTGCATACTTGAAAGAGTAGAGGAGTCAGAAAACATGTATTTGAGTCTTAGCATGGCCTCTAATTAGCTCTCTTAAGACCTCAAGGGAGTTGCTTAAATTCTCTGACATTTGAGGATCAAATGTGGTAATGTGCGGGGAGGCTATTGTAAGCTGTAACACCCTAAATACACTACTTGTTATTTTTCATCAAAGTTATCTTGTAGCTTTATTACTTTGCATGAGGTTTTAATAAAGGAGATCTGTCAAATTGGTTTCGAAGGGGCCAATGAAAGTCACAGTCCACCCCCCACCCCCCCACCACCGCCTAAAGACGTGAGAAATTGGGATATTAAATAAAACAGCCACAGCGGCACCCAGGAGGAAGATGATGAATCTAACCTTCTGGTCTCACCAGTGGGCAAACACACCTCGAGGAGGGCTGGAGTTTTCGTGAGTCTGTACGGCAAGTAGCTCTCAGAGTTGTGACCCTCTGAATACAGGCCTCCTGAGTTTTAGGCTGCTTTTCTACCTATGTTATGTTACTTCTGTAATCACCATCCTTGTGATTTTTTCTGACTCGAGGCAGAAAAAAAATTATTTTCGGGCCACTATTTGCAATTTATGTCTGAGGAAATTTGATCACTGTGACTTCTGTTGTTACTTGGAGGAGTAGTGCTGTCCTTCCCTGATGATACCTCACTGAGGATTAAACCCCACAGACAGCATACAAATCAGTGTCTGTGTACACTGATGCATACGTGCATGCCGAGTTATTTCCACATGGACTTTAAATGTTGACAACTGTATTAGTAGTTAAGTAGGAAAGGCCTCGAAATTGAAATATAAGTGGAAAAGATAGATTTTAATTGACTTTTCCAGTAAATTATTTTGCCTTATATCTAGCCAAATAAAAAATGTGGAGGAATTTTGTTGTCTTGATTTAAATGGAACATAAGTCCCAAAATGGAAGCTACTTCTAAGTATGCAGCATAATCTGATTATGTGAATAGTACTTCATGTGTTAGTCACACCAGTGTACAAGATTATTTTAGACCATTAAATATCTAGTCAAAGTGAGCATATGCTCGCAATAATAGCACAAAATTCTGAAGATGCCAAATTAAAAACCCCTTTAGGAAATTCAGACAGAACCCAAAGCAGTGATTTGGGATCCCGAGGAGAGAATCAGATTGTTCATCTTGAAGTTGATTATTGTAACATCTTATGGAATACAGAGTTAGAGTGGACATTGTGGTAATAAAAATCATGTTTAGAGTTTTAAGCCACCACTCCAGAATATCTGGAGATATTCTGCTCAGGTTATTTTAGCAGAAGGGCTGAATATATTTTTCCTAATGCTAGATGGGAACATTAGGAAACAGAACAACAATTTAGAAGTTGAAAATTAGTTAGGGGCTGTTTACCGTTGTGGAGGTCAATATTGTTTAAAACTCAACTCTTTTTTTCTAAATTTAGTCAAGATAGTTTATATATATATATATGGAACGGCTGTTAAAAAAACCTCTTACCAACATTTTTTTTTTTTAATACCATCAGGGCGAATCTGTGTAACTCTGGTACACCATTTTTTTCACACAGTTCGAGTTCTCACTTGTGATACTTGTGATTGATTAAATAAGGGTAAATTGTTGTTTTTACCAACATTGTTTTATACAAGTAAAGTGTGATAACTTTTAAAAATACTGCTATTTCACCAATATTGCTAGAAATATTCAACAGAAATTAGACATTTACACATTGTAAACACATTATCTTACAGTAGTATGAATTGGGTCCCGAAATGAAGATTTTAAAAATTGTCTTTTACAGAATACCAGGAAAAACCTACATGATAATAGCTTTTCTAACTGTGGGTACTATGGGGTTATCAAATACTTCCTTGGGCTACCTGAATTATCCTACCCAAGTCATCTTCAAGTGCTGCAAATTGATTCCTGTTATGCTAGGAGGAGTTTTTATTCAAGGTATAGTAATGATATATTTTCATACTGTTTGAAACTAATAGGATATGTTATGGCATCTAGCATTAGGAAAAACATTAAACTCCAATTAATATTTTCAATGAACATTCTCGATATTGGAACAATTCTGAGTGACATCTTATAAAATAAGGTATTATAGGGGCACCTGGGTGGCTCAGTCGTTAGGCATCTGCCTTCGGCTTGGGTCGTGGTCCTGGGGTCCTGGGATCGAGCCCCGCATGGGCTCCCTGCTCCGCGGGAAGCCTGCTTCTCCCTCTCCCACTCCTCCGACTTGTGTTCCCTCTCTCTCTGTCAAAAAATAAATAAATCTTTAAAAAAAAAATAAGGTATTATAAAAACACTGATACTTCTGTGATATCTCCTAGTATTCGAAATCAGTAATTCAGACTCAAGAAAAATAAAAATAGTATTTTATTATTTTTTTTTTCTTTTAATCTGGAATCTACCACATTTCCAGAAATACTGCATTCAAGTATTGAAGGCATAACTCAGAAATACCTGGAAACTCCCTCTTTTCAATTCTTTCACTCTTCTGCTCCTCAGGGCACCCCCCTCTACCTCCATTATACAAATGGACAATTCTCTCAACGAAGTAAGCTTAACCTGAGCAGAACTGCTTTTTTACCAACTCTGCGGGCTTATTGGCTTCCTAGAGCCCCAACTAAGTTACAAGCTATGTGGAAATAGGAGTAAAGAGGAAACTAATAGCAAGTAGAACAAGTTTTTGTTGTTCATGTCACTGTCATGAGAAATACTTGTTTTGATAATCAAGGGCCCCTGTATCACTAAAGTTCTTAAACAGCCTAACTTCATTTTTTTTTTACATTGGATGCCTTCCCACAGAGGCCCTCTGTAATGAACGTGTCTGTTGGCTATATCACATATAATATCAGGGTGGCTGTTCTTGCAGGAAAAAGCATTGACACCAATCCTTATTAAAAACCACATGCATGTATAATATTTCCTTAGTGATCCTTATGAAAAAGTTATACTACATAATTTTTAAATAAAATTTAAATAATGTGGATATACCATAACAGGTTAATTCTCACCAACCTAGAACTTATCTGATTATGGTCATTGTAAACTTAAACGGTTATATAACCTGAATAATTGCTCTGGTTACTTTTAAATGTATAAGCTATAAGAAAATTCATACCTTCTATTATATATGAAGTAAAGGAGGCACTCATGTCCACAAACTTTAAATGTTCATATTTACTCACTACCATAACATATAAAGTAGGATCTCATATCTGACTTATGAAGACATGTTGGTGCTCATTGGTCATTTAATTCTCAGAAGCCCTTCTGTGACTATCTCAGGCGTTGATCTAAACATTCTTCATATATTTTTGACTTTGGATACAAAAAGCAGATCCTGCTCTACTTGGTTAGACACATAGATCTAAAACTGTGCCAAGTGGGCATTTGCATAATGAGGTTGGCTTACATTTATTTTACACAGGGAAGCGTTATAACATTGCAGATGTGTCAGCTGCAGTGTGTATGAGCCTTGGTCTGATATGGTTCACCCTAGCTGACAGCACGATTGCACCAAATTTCAACCTGACAGGTAAGGAAATTATTTGTCCTCCTGGATTTTGCAGGCATTTTGGTTTAAGAGTAAGAACTTTTACAATTTCATAAGGATTTCAAATGATGGTGTGACATCTGTGATTTTCATATCTAACATAAAGCTTTCAGACTTTCCATGTAAGATACAGTAAAAATATTACAGTCCTGGAAGTGTAACAGTTATTTTTAGTGCTCTTGTATTTTGACCTAACAAGAGGCTGTTTGGCCAGTCAAAATCTTCTGTGATTGAGTACATGATAGAGCAATTTCTCATGGGCTGAGTTGGAAGTTTACACATGAGTTATAGAAGAATCACATTAGTAACTGTTTTTATTATTTTTTTTTAAATTGAAATTGTACATTTACTTGTCATTGTTTTAGCTAAAGAGGGAAAGGTATGCTGTATGTTAATATTGAACTGTGTGCTCTGAGTATGGTTAGAACCTTAAAGTGCTTGAACTTTCCACCATGAAGTCACCTCATAGTGTGCCAGGTGGAATTTTATAAATAAAATTTAGATTTTTCACAGGCAGAATAGGTATTATAGTATATTTAGAACTAAATAGCATAAAGGTGTTAGAATATTGTTTTTATTCTAAAGACCTTGAAGAGAAATTATTATATATACAGTATTACCATTCTTATACTACTGAGTTTTATTCATAAGCTTATTATCATCCCATCTCCTAGCCTGACAGAAACAGTATTTAAAATACCTAGGTATTGGGAAGGGCCTCTTTGTGGCGAGAGGAGGAGTAGGTACGGATGAAGATGGTGGCACCCAAGGCCGCAAACTGCATCATGGAGGTCTCCTGTAACAGGCAGGAAGCAGCGAGAAGCCCAATGCTGAGGACATGACTTCCAGAGATTACTACTTTGATTCATGTGCTCACTTCGGCATTCAGGAAGAGATATTGAAAGATGAGGTGCACACCCTCATGTACCAAAACTCTGTTTCACAGCTGGCACCTCTTTAAGGACAAAGTGGTGCTGGGTGTAGGCTCAGGCACAGGGATCCTCTAAGTTTGCTCCCAAGGCTGGAGCCCACAAGGTCTTTGGGATTGAGTGTTCCAGTATCTCTGATTATGTGGTGAAGATTGTCAGAGCCAACAAGTTAGACCACATGGTGACTGTCATCAAGGGGAAGGTGGAGGAAATAGCGCTTCGGTGGAGAAGGTGGACGTCATTATCAGTGAGTGAACGGGCCATTGCCTCTTTTAAGGATCAGTGCTCAACGTGGTGCCCTATGCCCCAGACAAGTGGCTGGCACCTGATGGCCTAATCTTTCCAGACTGAGCCACGCTACACATGACAGCCATTGAAGACCGGCAATACAAAGACAAGAGCCACTGGTGGGAGAATGTATATGGCTTTGACATGTCTTGCATCAAAGGTGTGGCCATCAAGGAGCCCCTGGTAGATGTGGTGGACCCCATGCAGCTGGTCACCAAGGCCTGCCTCATAAAGGAGGTAGACATCTACACTGTCAAGATAGAAGACCTGACTTTCAACTCTCCCTTCTGCCTGCAAGTGAAGTGGAATGCCCTGTGGCTTACATCAACATCAAGTTCCCTCGCCGCTGCAAGATGGGCTTCACCAGCCCCGAGTCCCCATATGTATGCTGCAAGTAGGCAGTGTTCTACATGGAAGACTGCCTGACAGTGAAGACCGGTGAGATCATCTTTGGCACCATTGGCATGCGGCCCAGTGCCAAGAATAATCATGACCTGGACTTCACCATTGACCTGGACTCCACGGGCCAGCTGTGTGAGCTTTCCACTGACTACTGATGGCACCCAATTTCTCCCACCCCAGCCGGACCAGCCCTGCACGGGCCCAGGGGCTGTAGCATTCTTAGGCAGTTTGGGGACTCTCCCTTCCTCCCTTTCCTCTCTCAGAGGGGGTTTTAAGGGTCTGCGCTGTGGAGGTCGCACCGTGACTGTTTTTCATAACTTACGCTTTTGTATGGTTGCATTTATACCAGTAAATCCTCAGCGGGGGAAAATAAATAAAAAGGTGTTCAGAGGAAGTGTGAAAAATGGGAAAATTTTAATTATTCATGAGAAGAAAAGTGTTGCATAAAGAAGAAAATCATTTACATCAGCTTTGTTCTTTCTAAGAATCAAAATTTTTCTTACTGGCAATGAGTCAACCTTCTTTACTAGCTTTGTTAACCAGGCTAAGTTAATGGATTTGAATGTAACCAGTACAGCCTCTTGGAGCAGGCCTTTTAACAACCAAAAGATTCTGGTGGAACCTATTGCATCTCTTTCAATTTTGATTGGTCAGAGTACAAGTGATCATTACTTCAATGAGTTTTACTCTGAGAAAGCTTATAGTTACAGATGTGTCCGACATGGCTTAGATTTTTCAGGAACACTTCCTGTCAGCAACACTAAAAGGAAAACTATATATGAAAACTGAGATAATTGACTCTTTTACTTATGAAAAAGCAGTTGTAGAGAAGGCACAGGATTTGCAGTCAAAGAGATGGCTTCCAGTTCTGTTCAGATCACTTAAAATTATAACCATGGATAAATTGTCAGACCCCTTTATGCTTCCCTTTTAAAACAGAGATAATGATGATAGCTTGCCTCACACAAGGGCAGTGGGAGGGTTGACTGAGGTGATGGAATAATGGATATGAAAGCGCATGCGCGTGCTGGGGCGGGGGGACGATAATGATGGAATGAGGTGGTGTCAGTAGTCCTGCAACTTCTCGTGGTGATGTAGTGTCAACCCATTCTGACTCCCATGGAAATATTTGGTAAGAGAATTAGAACCTAATAATACTTCATCATTAAGAATAACTGATGAACAGTTATCACAGTCCCTGATCTGTGACAATTTATGATCTAAAGGAGATTAGATTCACTATTAAGATAGTTACTTAAGGTAGACATAAAGAAAACTTTGAACGTATAAAGCGAATATATCAGAATTTACTTATTCAAATAAATGTCTGCCTTTAAATATTGCCCTCAGGGTGCAATTCAGGTATTTTCATGCCATTGCCATTGTTCAGAACATTTTTGGAATGTCTTCGAATAGCCTGTTAGGAGCTAGGATATTGTATTCAGGGTCTTCAACAGCAGCTTGTCTTTTTGTTTTAAGGACAGATTTGGCATTTGAAATAAGTAAAAGAGCATTCAAAATCAAGTTTGGTGGATAAAAATGTATGATTAGGTAATACCACAAAGTTAGATGATCAGAAGGCAAATTGAAGAATAAGCATGAAAACTTGAAAGTTCTCAAGTGCACACACATGTACATATATTTTTCTGCTCCCTGCGATTGCTTATACATTGTTAAAAAACAATGCAAAAGGGAAACTTCCTTAAATCCCAGCAGACTCACAGACGTAACCAAGGCTGCCTTTTGTTCTTTCTGTAAAGCACCATGACTAGTGACCAGTGTCCCAAACACTGGCAGTGAACAGCCTGCTTCTCAGGTAGACATGCTCATTTGCCTGAGTGTTGATTTCCAGGTTTGTTTATGCCAACTGTACCTGTTACTATAACCATGTAATAATATTACTTAAATTGTTCAAAAATAATTTGAAGAGAGACAGAATTGTTTCTGTTAAGTTAATTGAAACAATTTGGTTGACTAGTCAATAAAATCACCATTGAATTAAGTATGAAGGAAACAACTGTAAAAAGAGCAGGATATCATACAAGTGTGAAAGGATTCTGCACCCCAACTATTTGAGAAGTTCCTGCGTTTCCCACGTGCTTTTTAACAAAACAACTGGGAAAGCATTAACAATGTGTGTTACAAGTATGCTTTATACAGAAGAGAAAGTGCAGAATTTTAGTCAGGACACATACTCAGAGAAAATACCGTGGCAATTGCATGCATGTTGATGTGTTCTAAATGAAATGTTTTAATAATGTAGGTAACATCTTTTATGATTTCCCTCCTCGTCTGTTTTTTTCAATTAACCGACTAACCGCCAGTCCTGACAGAGCTCCTAAGAATTTCTTCTATATTTGCTTAATACAGTGTTCCTTTCTAACATATCATCTAATTTAAAAGCAGAACTATTAGTTGATCTAATAGGGAAACACAATAAGCTTGAATGTAGTTTATTAGTGTCGGTTACTTGTGTTTTTAACGTCATCACATATGTGCCCATTATAGCTGGTAGTCGATAAAAATCATCAATTTTTATTGAAACAATGTGATTTAAGATCTGCTTTTGTTTTTTAACCCAATAAAATCTCTGATAAATCTTGATTATCGTTCACCTATTTAAATAAGAAGGTTGTGTTTCTCTTATGCTTTCTTGAAGGTGTGATCCTTATTTCCCTGGCACTGTGTGCAGATGCTGTCATTGGAAATGTTCAAGAGAAAGCTATGAAACTGCATAATGCTTCTAATTCGGAAATGGTAAGGACTCCAGTGCTTCTTCACAGCAAACAGGCTCTAAAGTGGAGAGGTGCTAACTTTATGAAATAGTTACGATATTAAAGACTCGCATGGCATTTTTAAACTAGTTTGTCATCATCATTTTCGTAAAAGTAATACATTCAAACATTATGGGAACTAAAAAAGATACCACTACCCCTCTTAAGAGCTTATTGTATAATATTTGATAAATTTTTTCCTTATTAAAAAAAATAAATTTTTTTCCTTATTTATAGGGTTTTTTTTTTACATATTAAAAAGATCCTGTGTTATATCCCTTTTCTTCCCTTTTGTATTTGGTATTATTTTCCATTTAGAAGTTTGTAATTTTGATGTGGTTTATCTTTTCTTTCATGGGTTCTGGCTACCTATTATGATTGAAAAGGGCTTTCCCAACTTTTAAGAATTTTACCCATACTGCCTACTCGTTTTATGATTGCCTTTTTAATTAAATCTTTTTTTTTTTTTTTTAAGAGCAAGATGGAGGGTGGCAAAGGGAGAGAGGGAGAATTTTAAGCAGGCTCCACTCCCAGCACAGAGCCCGACATGGGGCTCAGTCTCACAGCCCTGAGATCATGACCTGAGCCAAAATCAAGAGGCAGACATTTAATCAACTGAGCCACCCAGACAACCCTAATTAAATCTTTGATCCAACCAAAACTTAAAAAAATTTTCTTATCTATCCACTTGTCCCAGTATCATTTGTTGAAAAATCCACTTTTCCAGCTTAAGTGCCTTCTTTATCATATATTCTAATGTAGGATTCAGAATTGTGTTCTTTTGAATTTACTTCTGCACCAAAACCATATGATGACAGCAGCTTTATCATACATTTACCATATGTTAGAACTAGCCAGCAATATTCCTTTTGTTTTTCAGAATATTACTACCATTAGTTATTCTTGGATGTTCATATCTCCAAATAAACTAGAAAATTCCATTGTTAATTGTGATTGGTATGGAATTGAATTATAAGTTAATTTAGAGAGAATGGCATCTATATACTTGAGTCTTTCAGTCCAAGTCCATGATTTTCCTTTTATTCAAGTGGCTTTTTTTAAATGTCCCTTAGATTTTTTTAAGTTTTTTTCATATAAATCCAACATATTTCTTATTGAAGTTATTGTTAGGGGTTTCATCTTTTTGCTGTTGTTACTGCAAATAATGTCCTTTCTTTCCTTATATCTTCTACCTGGTTGGTATTTGTATATAGGAAAGTTATGTGTATGTTTACATTAATTTCATAGCTAACCCCTCGCTAGACAGAGAGAGCATACCACATTAAGGGTATATAGGAATGGTCTTTCCTATTACTTTGTCAGCAGAGTGGGCATCTTTAAGGAGTCTTTAATCTTGGTCAGAAGTTTTCTTGATCATCATCACCACTCTTCCTAGATAAGGTAAAGATCAGATAATTAGGGAACTATAAGTTGCTAGAAAGTTACTATAATACAGTGGTTAAGAGCTTAGACAGACTCTGGGCTAAGATCGCCTCTTTTATATCCTAGCTTTACGAGTTCTCTTACTGGGGCAAAATGACTTACTATCTCTAAGTTTTAGTTTCTTTATCTGCAGATAGAGGAGTGATCATTAAGAGTGTCTAACTCATAGTCTGGTTGTGAGAAGTGGAATAATTTATGTAGAGCATTATTAGCACATGATTAGCATTATTAGTACCCGACACATCACAGGTGCACAAGTGTGATGATGCCCCTGCTGATTGTGCTTATGAGGAATATAAGGAACTGGGATAGAAAGATTGGTAGGAAAACTGGGAAATCAAGCAATAGATGTGCCAATAGATATGTCCCTGCTTATTTTCATTATCTGTTAATATCTTTACAAACTTAACATTTGATGTTCTGATGTTTAATAAGTGGCTTTAAAGGGTTTTTTTGTTTTGTTTATGTGTGTTTTTGGAACCCCAAAATTCAAATGTGGTTTGAATCAGTAATCAAGCCGGGCAAAAAAATGAATATTATGTAACTGTATACATGGAAGGATCAGTCCTGCTATGTTATGATGTACGTAAAATAAGCCATAAACTTATAAAGAGGATCAATCATCATCTCCAGAAAGCTAGGCCATATTGAAACAATGATGTCACTTAAAAATGGTGGTTCTTCAGATTTAATTGAGTAGATTAATTGAGCCGTATATTGAAAATCCTTCATTTTCTGCTTTTGGTTTGATAGCATTTTTTCCACTTTATTTTTATCTACCATAGGTTTTATATTCGTATTCAATCGGTTTTGTGTACATTTTATTGGGATTGACATGCACTAGTGGATTAGGCCCTGCAGTAACATTTTGTTCAAAGGTAAACACTAATCACATTTTTAAAAATAAACATCTTCCATTAAATAGTTCCCTCTGTATTTCTTGTTCAAAAAGATTGTTTTTTATGTAATTTGATAACTCCTTTAGTATAATATATGCAGATCAGAAATTATTTCAGAAATGAAATGATTTATATTTAAATTTATTCTATCCTTGCTCTACCCTATAAGTTAATTTTTAAGCGATTCATAATGTAAAAGTTGGGGATTTTTAATTTCATCATTGTTTTTCCATTAAATCAGAACTAAATAAGAATCTTTGCTTGACTGCGTTGTTGAATGGCTTATTATTGCTCAGGAAGTTGATTAAAATCTGTAGTTTTATTTCATTTGTAATACCTCAGGGTTTGTTTTGCATTTTCCTAACAGGCTTTTTTATATGTTGCAGAATCCAATTCAGACTTACGGTTATGCTTTCCTTTTTTCCCTCACTGGGTATTTTGGAATCTCCTTTGTTCTGGCTCTGATTAAAATTTTCGGTGCACTTCTTGCTGTAACAGGTAGGAATGATATACCTGCTTAGATTATGAAGTAAGCATTTAAATTTTCTCTGATGCTGCTTTTCAAAAGATACAGGCAGCATCTACTCTGCATTAAAAAGAAAATTGTTATAGTTCATCAATTTATTTTTTGGCTTATGGTATTTCTTTAAATTTCTAAAGAAAATGATGTTTGCTCATAATTTTTTATTTGAAGGATTAATCTTAAAATCAGATATATACATTTATCTAAATAGTAACTTTTAAATACATTAAAAGGACTTTTTATTAGAAAGTATGATGCGCTGAATACCCTTAGAGAAAAATCCTGCTTTTATATGCACTTTTAATTTATAACCAAAAACTCCCATTTTGATGCACTTAAAGTATGGCATGTATATTCTAAACAAAGCTTTTTGGACCTTTCATTTGTACACTTTCTAGGGCATTAACCAGATTATCCTTTCTTTTCCCTAATAATTATCATGTACCTGCTTTATGCAGGAACTTTGCTTGGCACTTTAGAGGAATGGAAGTTGTATTGGTTTTGCTTTGAGGGAGTCAGGAAAACAGATGAGGGGCAACAGGTGAGGCCCAGTGAGGAGGACAGATGACTCCATGTGCTAACCTTGTATCAGTTGCCCAGTGAATGGTCCAGATGACAAATGCTCTCAGCCTCTCCCATATGGAGAGAGCCCTGAGTGAAGCCCAGGATTGGAAACAGTGTGGCATTGTCATGAAGGGCACTGGATTGAGATGTCGGAGAAGGGGAGCCCAGTCGCAGCTCTGATGTGTAATGACACATCACCTGGAGAGTAACTCCCCCCTCTTCCCTGGGCTTCATTTCTCTCTTGTGAAGAGACTGGGTTGGACTTGACCATTTCTATCAGAGATACATAGGATTTACATCATAATGCAAACACGCATTAGTCATTTACCTGATTTTAATATTTCATAGTTTTAGGGGAATACTTACTCTAATACTACAGAGTCAATTAAGCAACGGAATAAATACCTCTCTCCTTGTAAAAGTTTATTTGCTTTGTAACGTTTCTCTTTATTTGCTCACATAAGACTCCCCTTTTTACTTATTTATAACTTCCCTTTTTAAAGTTTACATTGCTAATGGTAAACAGAGGGCATGTAATTGTAGATCAGGCCATAGCCATAATCTGTCGAGTCATCTCACGCTACCAAGAAAGATTGCAAATTCATATATTTAGCTCAGGTTCCAGTTTTGCTCATAAGATAATAACTGTTTAAAAAGGTTTGATATTAATCAATATGTATTGATTAAACCCTGTGGTTGGTATAAAAAATGTGAGATGCTGTCCTTGTCTTAAAGGTGCAGACAGGTTTATTTCTATCTCGTGTAAAAGAAATGCAGCAGTAATAATAATAGCCAGCATGCATATCCGTTATTATGTACCAGGAGCCATTTTACATACATTATTCATTTTGATCTTGCAATAATCCCATAAAAGAGTAGGCACTGTTATTGTTCCATTTTACGAAGGGTAAACTGAGGCACAGGGACGTGAAGTGGCTTGCCCCATGGTCAACCACCTAGTAAGTTGCAGAATCAGGATTCCAAGTGAGGCAGTCTGGATCCCGACCTGTGCTCTTAACCCACATGTTACACTGCCTCCTGAGCTGGAGTGGTGGCATCACACTCATTAGGAAACCAGGCTCCTTCTGTCTTTTCTGCCATCTTCTTCCTCATTCCAGGCCGTGGGATGGGAGAAGATGAAGGACACATCTTTCTCTTTATGGAATCTTCCTAGAAAGTAAACTTCCTAGAAACAGCACTTCTGCTCACTTTTCTTTGGCCCAAACCTCATCACATGACAACACCTAACCGTAGGAAAGGCTGGAAGGTATGCCCATAATAGGGGTCCGTTTACTAACACAGAAGGAAGTAGGGGTTAAAATAGGGGTCCGTTTACTAATACAGAAGGAAAAATAGATTTGGGGAATCAGGCTCTGACACATTTCCAAACAGATTCTTCATTTGGAGTTCATTTATTTATACCTTGGATAGTAAGTGCCAGGAGCTGTCGAGTCCGGGGATATAGGATGAATAAGACAAGAAACTAAGTAAAGCTCACCATCTAGAGGAGGATAGCAACTGATAATGCAAAGTTGGACGGAAGGCTATGATGGAGACATATGCCAAGGTCCTACCTCTACGTGGGTGGGACGGAGGAGGGTTTCAAACCTGACAGCAGACTTCAAGGTCATACTTGAAAGACAGGTAAAAGTTAATACAGACATGTAAAGAAGACTGTAAAGATTATTCATGGTCTTACTCAGAGATGACCACGATAGGATATTAGTGTGTGCTTTAGCTTACTTCTTTTAAAGACTAACCCCTGCTCTACCTAATCCTACCTTCTTTGGGAAAGCCTATTTTTCCTGCCAGACTGTTTCTAAGGATGACCTGCCTCCCTAGTGTCATAGCCTTTATCAAGTACTTATTACAGTTGTACTTTAACATTTAACTATAATATGATTTAATATCTGTACCCCTCCTAGACTGTAAATGCCATAGCAGCAGCAACAGTGACTTTCTGTTTGGTTTTTGCTTTCCATCGTTTTCTTGGCATGTCACGTAGATCTTGGCACATAGTAGGCTCTGTAAATATTTGTTGAAAATGATTTCCAAAATATTACCAAGATAGTAGGCACATTATAAACCAACCTTTTTTCTCCGTACAGTGACAACAGGAAGAAAAGCCATGACCATTGTACTTTCATTTATGTTCTTTGCTAAACCATTCACGTTTCAGTAAGTACTTTTTAATTCAACAGGTTTCTCTACTTGTAGATGCCTGGTTTCACATTTCCCCCTAAGCAGCCTTAATTTATTTATAAAAAATCAGTTTCATCTGGAGCCCTAGTTTATTGATATGTCTTCTGCTATTTATTTTGAAGAAATCATATTGTTCACTTAAATTGCCTAACCAGAGTCCCAATGCAATTATGATCCCATTTCCAATATAAATGAACATGAGTGATGTCTTGAGATTAAAGGATTCCACCTTGCCTTGAAACATACACACATACATATGAAACCATATATATGGTTTTTAAAGTTATTTGTCCCCCTCTCCCACAAAGGATTTGAGGTAGAGAATTATTCTGTAAGTTTATTTAGTATATGGCTTCTTGTAAAGCAGTTACTGTTTTCTCGACCATCTAGTATGCATTTGAAATCAGTATCATTTAAATTTATGCTGCTTAATGATTGAGAAGATTCAAACTTAGAAATTATGAATGTGTAAGCTTCAAGATAACCACAAGATAAATTTCAGTCAGTGTATTGTTTTCTATAAAGTAGTTTCTCTTTCCCCATATGCTAGGTATATATTACAGCAATCTATGCCAGTTCCCCAGCTTTCTCAGGATGTGCCCTTTTTATCTCATTATGTGCTACCCAACTGGGATAAACAGTTGGACTGCCAAACTGAATTCCCAAGATGGCCATTGGCAGAATGTACTCAGTGCTTTAAGTACATTCTTAGACTGTTGATTAAGACGTGGACTTGAATTTGCTGTTATCTTCAAAGTTCAAATGAACTACATTTAGTATTTTATAAAGTCTCTCTGAATATACTTAATATAAATGAGATGGAATTCTATCTAATCTGATCTAAAAATACTGTTTTTTATTTTAATGCTATTGTAGGCCTCCAATAGCAAAATTTTATTTTATTGCAGAATTATTGTGAACTTATCACCAAGTCCTGTGGTTAACAATAAATTGTTACCTTGATATTAATATTTTTTTCCTTCTTTCTCTTCTTAGGTACGTGTGGTCTGGTTTGTTAGTTGTCCTTGGTATATTTCTCAATGTTTACAGCAAAAATATGGATAAAATAAGGCTACCATCACTATATGATCTGATAAACAAAACAGTGGAAATGAGAAAGTCTAGGACGTTGGCACAAACTGTATAGGCAGTGATTCCTCCTGCTTAACGTAGAATTCTAAGGGAACAATCATCAAATAATTAATTTTCCAAAGGGATTATTATAAAAACCAAAGGAGCTGAAAGGCATGCTATCCATTTGTGGATGGGTCACCTATGAAGTCAGCCTCTTCCGCAGATCACTTGTTTAACTTCTGAAGCAATTAAGAGAGCCACATCGGCCACACCTTAGAACACACTGTCAGTGAAGGACTAATTCTTAGCAGTCTGTTGAGAATTTCACTGGAAAATGGACCGTGTTGCAAAACTAACTGGATATCATGATGACTTTTCAAAGAAATTGATATAATAATATCAATTAATCGATTGTTTGGTCTTCATTCATTTTGGTGGTGTTATTTAAATGATTCTCTGTTATAAGAGTGAACATAGGATTTAAAGTCTAGAAAGAATAACTTCATTATAAATAAAAATTATTCTGTGATTTTTTTAATAAATGCGTTGTTAGAATTTTGTTACGAAGAGGGAAGTGAAGGTTGCAGGAAGGCTTTACATAAACTTCAAACCTTAGGCTTTTCTCTGATCATTTAAAAGTATTCTTTAGAGAAAACATGCCTTAAGTTTTCTGTGGACTATAGACAGTATAACAGAAGGAGTCACCACCCTGCATCCTCTAAGTATGTATCACAAGAAAAACTTGCTACTATCCATCAAAGAAGTGCTATAAGATTTAATGATGTGGATTTTTTAAATAAAGAGAAAATAACTCATGTCTTAAATTATAATAAAATAATAAAATTGTCATAGTTTTTCTCATAAAACAAATTTGACAGCTTGAAGACTAAATAGGGTAAATATAAGAAACACAAGTGGATTTATACCTATGTTGTTTGCACAGTTTTGATTCAAAACTCATAAAACTTTTAGCCCTTACGTTTTTAGCAGTGAGTTTTGGAATTGCTTCCAGTGTATTAAAAAAATTCTATCTTCATTTTCAGTGTAAGTAATGCTAGTTAAAACAGCTTAGTTTCTGCGTTGTTGGTGATACCACTTATATTTTGTGAGTTATTTAATATACTTGGAATATTTAATCTCATTCTTAAAATTCCATTGTATTCTGATGGTGACCTTAACTAGTAGGTGCATATGTGGGTACAACAGAGCCTATAATAATTTAAGGGTCTAGCGTAAGGAATTCTGACTGATTTTCATTTGTCATGTATTAAAATACTGTGGGGGTATTTTTCCCCAAGTGGTGATCATTTTTAAGTTTTCGTATTTTAAAATGAAAAGGATCTTAGTTGGTACTTCATTATGCTTTCTTAAACTCTTAAGACGGCAAGGATTTGTGCTTTAAAAATAATTTTCCCAATTCTTGATAAAAGATTGTAATTTTAACTTTGCAAGGCATCCTTTTATGCCCACACTTTTCTAATTTTTTGCCTTTGCCTATTAAGAATTCTTCCCACCGCCCACTTTTAAAAAAATTGGTTTGCCCGCCTAACCCTTTATACTCCCATTTCCTTTTTTTTTTTTTTTTAACCTGCCATCAAATGAGGGCAAACCTCATCTCACTTATTTGTGTCCATGGAGTACTCTTCTTAATGAATAGTGTGAAACCCAGTAATTTCTATAGTAAAGGAAATCAACATTTGATTGTGTGCTTTGTGTCACATTTTATAATAGCATTCATAAATACGATCATGATCGCAACAACAGAAATATAAGTAATAAATAAAATTAATAAGGGAATTAAAAATAGTAATCACTAAAAATCACTACAATTTAAGTGCTTATTAGGTGCCAGGCATTATTATAAGTGCAGTATTTAATTATTTAATCCTCACAACATCTCTTTGAGGGCAAGGATTGTCCTCATTTTACAGATGAGGAAGCTGTGGCCAGTGAGATTAGGTGACATTGCTAACCTTACATGGCTAGAAAGAACCAGAGCTGTCTGTCAAGCAGCCTAGTCCCAGAGTCAGGCTCTTAACCAACTCTTTTGCCTCTCTAAGTTGATGTGATTATGTTCACGGTTTTGCAGATACAGAGGTTGAGAACCAGAGAAAGTACTTACTAGCTCACGATTAACTGGATTTCAAACCCAGTTCCATCATACCCCAAAGTGTATTTTCTGTCTACCATACCCCACTATGAGCACAGAAGTAACCCAAAGTAACATAATAAATGATGAAATATTTTTAGTAAAGAGTTTGTGAGACATACTTTAATGAATAGGCAAGGATCATTTGACTGGAACATTAGTTAAATGCAGATACATGTATTTGTTTAAGCCGTATGTAGATAAAATTGGTTTCTTCGGTGGTGTTCATATTAGGTGCCTATCACAGAGTAGGCACTCAGTAAATATCTGTCATACAAGACTAGTGATCAAAGAATACCATTAGGCCAGAAACTACACTGGATAATATATGTTCTGAATTCCGTCTTCTGTCCCTTTTTTTTTTTGGTATAATCAATGCAACAACAAAATAACAGCAGAAGAATCTGGCTGTCTCCTGTGGATCACTGTATTAGATTTGATCTGGAAGTAAGCCAGCCTAGCCAGAATCCTCAGGAAGGCCAACTTGTATAATAAAGAATTTAGCTGGCCTTTTTCCTTGGTTCCTGAGAAGGAGCTTTTCATCTTTGGGATTTCCCAAGTGATGGGCATGTCTTTGATATTCATGGTGGGTCCTAGATTGTGCCAAAATAGGGGCTGGCCATGCTGGAATGACTAACCCTGTGACACAACTATGGAGTTGGGGTTTTGAGCCTCAGGATATCAGTCCAACCTCCGGAGGAGAAACAGGGATTTGTGTAGTCAGTGATTTCAGCAATCATGGCTCTGTAGTGAGGCTTAATAAAAACGACACAGGAAGGCTCAGGAGAGCTTCTCGGGTTGGAGATGCACATTGATGTGCCTGGAGGGTGATGTGTCCTGAGGATGTGGAAGCTTAGTGTTAGTAACCCACCCAGACCCTGCCCCATGGGGTTCTTCCTGTGTCTGGTCCTGATTCCAAAACTTTGTAACAAAAGGAGTGGGAAGTACAGCACTTCCCTGAGTTCTGTGAATTCTTCTGGCACCCTAGAACCTGAACTTGAGGGGACTGCCCAATTTGTACCCCATTGGTAACAAGTACAAGTGGCCTGGGATCCTCAGAGCTTGCAGCCGGTGTTGGAAGTGAGGGGGCAGTCTCTCGGAGACTCTGCCTGCAAAACTGGACCGAGTCTGGGTTGTCAGAATTGCACTGCCGGCTTTATGCTGAACATATGTTTTAAAATAACTCTGAGTATTTTCTGGGATATCCTCTCAGTCTCTTAATTTTCTCAACTGATTTTTATCTTAAATCCACTTTACATTCTAGATTCTTCCTTGGTCAAAGAGCATAGAATTCTAGCAAAATTTGACCAGGATAATGGGCCAATAATAGGGCTTACCATAATGAAAATATTTTTTCATTCCAGTATCACATTTGCCCTTTAAAGTTATCAAATTATCAAGTTATGCATATGATGCCCAATACCTTTGTGTGCTTTCTTCCTAATTTAAGCACATGACAGTCTTTTTTTTTCCATTATGTGTTTGAGTGAAACTTTTTTTCCTATTTTCACTTAACCCTGCTTTTCATGGGTCCCTATTAAATGTCCTTGTACTTGCCCATTAAGCCAACCATCTTAATGTTTTTAACAAATAGTGTAGCATCACTGACTTGACTGCTCTATTTTTACTTTAACATAATTTACTCATCCATTCTCACTCTCCACCTATGAGCCAGGCATTATACTAGATGCTGAGGATGCAAAAGAAAAAAAAAAAAAAAACAACCCTCACTCTTTAAGGAACACCCATTCTGAAGAAGATTTATTGTGATTACTATATAAAAATACATAGAACTATGTTGTTTCCTTCCAGTCACGGGGTATCTTACTAGCCTTAAGTTTTCAAAATAATTCCCCATAGTGGTAGTGTTTCCAAAACTTAAATATGCACATGAGTCACCCGAGGATCTTCTTTAAAAAGATTTTAATTTAATAAGATTGTGTTGGAGCTGAGACTTTGCTCTAAGGAAATGCCCCTGCTGCTGGTCTGTGGACCACACTTGAGTATCAGTCTTGGAGTACCAGATCCATGTCCTGTTTTCAGTGTCAGGACATCTTAAACTATTTGAATAACTTCCACCTGTTTCCCTTCCATCTGCTTTTCTTTCTATTTTTTTTTTATTTTATTTTATTTGCTTTTCAAACTTCCCATTCTGTATGACCTGACACTAATTAACATCTGAGTCTCTTCGTTCAAACCGATCAAAAAATCTCACCATGTTGCAGAGTTGCTAGCGTAAGTGAAAAGAGTTCTTTAATCGTTGTAGGTGTATGAAAGATTTAATATTCATTACTTTCTCCATAAATGTTACTTTTTTTTTAAATCTTCACGAAACTAAGATAAACCCACAATTTCCTACCAGTCATGGTCTGTTGTTTTAATTTCATGGCATGTAGTTAGAATACTTTTTATGCTATTTTGTAGTGACATTATGAAGAAAATGTTCACTTCAGTGATTTACTCCTGCTTCAGAATGAACTGTATATTACGAGGGGTTCAGGAAGTAGGACTTAACACTTAAGGGATTCTTCTGAGACTTTAATCACAAAAATGTGTTTTATTAAATATCTTAATCCTATGATACCCCCCAAATTTCTAAAACATAATTAATTAGTCCATTTTAATCAGTTTAACACAATTGATAAGATTTAAATAGATGAAATAAGTAAAATGTGGATAATTATTCACAATAGATAATGATAGAAATGAGACCTTGGAGTCTGATTATTATAGATTTCCTTGCAGGACTCATCTCCCATTTTTTCTTTCCCCTAATGCCAGTCACAATGAAAGGAATAAAAAGCAGATCAGTTCAAGTGTATATTGTGCTTTATTTCTGACTCAAGAGCATATAAACATTTGGGAATTAATTTTTTTGTATGTTCTGAGAAAAACCCATTTATATATCTTAATTGCGTAGGATTTTTTTTGTGTATATACATATACCCAGAGATAACTCATAAAGGCAGGTAATCATCTTTTCTCTAGTTTCTCTAGTTTCTCTATCATTTTAATTGATATAATGTTAGTCTGCAATATGTGTGCCAATCTTAGTGATGTAGGAAAGATGTTAGTGTCGAAGCTGATGGCCAAGAAAGAATTCTTGAGACCTCTTTGGTGAAAAAGGTGGTTTTATTGAAACACAGGGACAGGACCCGCGGGCAGAAAGAGCTGCAAGGGGTCATGAGGAGGGGCCCATTATATACTTTCAAGTTGGGAGGGGGTTAGGGAGAGCTTAAGTCTCTAAGGAATTTTGGAAGCAAGGTTTCTGGGACCTTGAGGGGGCTAGCTATCCTTTATTACTGTCCGATAAAACCTTAGTCATGAGACCTTCAGATGTATATTGGTGAGTCATATGCTTGGGGTGATGGCCAACATATTTCTTGGGGGATAGAGATAAAGGAAGTTTCCAAAGGAATTTTTATATGTTAAAGTAGACTTACAGGATCATGGGGGTCAGGCTAAGATTGCCTTTTGCCCTTAGCAAAATATTAACATTGAGGCAGCTGAGTTCCTAGAGGAATGTCACTCTGCCTGTTTCAAGGACTTGTAAATGGGCTTCAAGTAGTAAGGAAATTTTTCTTTTGCCTTTGTTTTCCACATCATCAGGACTGTTTTGATATTTGAACGCCTCTCATGAAATCAAAGAAATTGATTGAAACGTCTGCTCTTAAGGTTTGATCTAATAGGATGGGGTGGGGCTGGGGGTAATTTACTGTAAAATGCCTACCAAACATCCACAGCCAGTTCAAGCCTATCTTTATTTTTTTTTAAGATTTTATTTATTTATTTGAAAGAGAGAGAGAGCACGAGCGGAGGAAGGGGTAGAGGCAGAGAGAGAAGCAGACTCCTCGCTGAGCAGGGAACCTGATGCGGGGCTCCGTCCCAGGACCCTGGGATCTTGACCTGAGCTGAAGGCAGGCACTTAAGTGACTGAGCCACCCAGGCGCCCCCCTCAAGCCTATCTTTAAACCACTAGGAATTGTTTCAGGATTCAGGAGACGCTTGCACCAGAGGAATGCGGTGTCGCTGTGGACACGGGGTGGCTCATGGAGCTACTGCACAGTTATGGGACTAGTTCAAGTGGTGCCATACACAAGCTGACAGTCATACGCTGAATAAAGAAACTCATTCTTTAGTGTCCCTGCTAGCTCATGAATTCTCTAAGTTAATCTTACTGGCATATATTTAATTATTCACTCCATTCTTAGCAGTTTGCCATTCTCATAAAGTGGAGGCATGGGCAGTTTTTTGGGTTTTCGTTTGTTTTTGTTTTTTTAATTTTATTTTATTATGTTATGTTAATCACCATACATTACATCATTAGTTTTTGATGTAGTGTTCCATGGTTCGTTGTTTGTGTATAACACCCAGTGTTCCATTCAATACATGCCCTCTTTAATACCCATCACCAGGCTAACCCATCCCCCCACCCCCATCCCCTCTAGAACCCTCAGTTTGTTTCTCAGAGTCCATAGTCTCTCATGGTTCGTCTCCCCCTCTGATTTCCTCCCCTTCATTTTTCCCTTCCTACTATCTTCTTTTTTTCTTT